TTCTAAAAAGCGTATGACAAAAAATAGTGTTTGTCACACGTACCTAACGAAGTTTTTCAGGACTCATCTGCTATTCCGGACTCGGCTGACGCCTCGTCCGGAAACAGCAATGATTCGTCCTGAAAAACTTCATTTTAGGTACTTGTGAAAAAAATAACTATTTTGTAATAGCTCACATTTGTGAAGTGAATGTGACAACACTAAACATTTTAAACTGATTATGCAGGTGCGACAGGTACATGCAAACTGACAAAGTTGCTATGACGACTTTTAGAAACTGGGCGAAAATGGAGCATTTTACGGTGTAGGCCGAAAATGAAGATTTACGGACTGAAATGAGTTCAAAAAATAGCTATTTTTAGGCGCGTATATACAAAAAATAGAGTTTTCACATCCTGCATAATTTTTTTTTTTTGGATTCTCAAGTTCTTTTTGACTATATCTCGCGAATTACTTAACCTATCACAAACTCAAAAACTGTTTCAAAATTAGAAAAAAAGCGCATATTTTTAAGCTTCTTTTGGTAAGAAAATTGAAGGAAACCAATTCAATTTATTTTCCTATACATATATATATATATATATATATATATATATTTTTGACAGAAATACTACTTGTCAAAATGGATTAATATTTTTATTTCATTCTTTAATCCAAAACAAAGGTATTTTTTTTTACTTGACGAAAATCGGTTAATAAATAAGAAAGTTGCGATTTTTTTCAAGAATAGCACTAGCCGCCATCTTTAATTCATCATGGCGGAAAAAGCAAGCCTCCTAGGAGGTGTAACTTTTTTTTACAGAGTACTATTGATAGGTACTATCATCTGTGAAAAAATCAGCTTGATTGCAAAAACTTCTCCTATTTTTGCTAACTGCCCTGGCCTAGTTTTACAATAGGAAAAAACGGGTGTCCCACTTTTCATGCTCACGACTGTATTTCTTTCTGTAGTAACTACATGTAGAAATACACGAAAAAAATACACGAATATGTAAGAGGGGCTATATTGTATATTCTAAATACTTACAGTCGTGAGCATTAAAAGTGGGACATCCGACTGACTAGTCTTGTAATTTTTCGCTATTTTGGGTAAATCAGTATTGGTGCATTTACATTCACTTCGAAGTCCAATTTGTCTTGAAATTGACGTGCTTGGCATATGGCGACAGCACAGATCCATTTACATTGAAATAAATTTGAAGTTCACTTCGAAGTGCACTATAAATTCGGGCCAGCTGCTTGCCGAGGGCAAGCAGAAATTTGTGAAATGTCAAATTATTAGGTTATTCATCATGATTCACATTAAATTCTGACGTTTTGACTTGACGTTTTTGTTCTGCAATGTAAATGATAAAATATCAAACGTCAAATCTAACTTGAAGTTGGAAGTGAATGTAAAGTCTGTTTTTTTTTTAAACATAATTCCCCAAGTCAAAAATTTAGTAACTATGTTGGCAGCACGAGCCTTTTCTACATAAAAAATTTGAAAGCATTGACAATTTTACATTGTATTGCCAACATAATGTCATTTTGACTTTTATCTTTAAAAAAAAAACAGATTTTAAATGCTCCTTATTTCCTGTACAACGGATTTTTTGTCAAATATGACAATCCTTGTCATTGCCGACGGTGTAGCTGGTGAGCCCGTTTTACAATAGAAAAATCGGGTGTCATATTTTTTGTGCTCACGACTGTACAGGGTGGTCCAAATTGGACACTTTCTTATGGAAACACCCTTTATTTTTAGAGATAGAAATAAATGGACCCCCCGTTCTGAGGCTCAAATTTCATGAAATCATGATTGGTGCAAACCGCAATTTGATATTTTCAACCGTTTAGCCGCTAGAGGGCGATTCTCGATTCTGAGCAATACTGTAAAGCCTCCATAACTTTTTTGTTTATGAAAATAATTCATTTCCGTAAAGACCTTTTAGAAGCACTTTCTCAAGCAGAATCCAGTGACGTTCTCAGTTTTTTTCTGTCTGGCTTCGATTTCGAGATATTGACCGAAATCCGATATTTTTCAATAGAACACCCTATATATTAATAGTTCATTAGAAAGCTATGCTTTCGCTGATTTCAATGGTATAAGGTTCGATAGGTTTATCTCTAACAGTTTTCGAGAAAAAAAATTATTTTGGTTTTTGTCATAAGAAACAATGTGTTAGAAAGAGACCTTTCTCAGTTTCCTTACAGAGATAAAGTCCTTTTCCAACACCTTGTATCTTATGATAAAAACCGAAATAATTTTTTTTCTTGAAAACTGTTAAAGATAAACCTATCGAACTTTATATCATTGAAATCAGCAAAAGCATAGCTTTCTAATGAACTATTAATATATAGGAAGTCCTATTGAAAAAAATCGGATTTTGGTCAATATCTCGAAATTGAAGCCAGGCAGAAAAAAACTGAGAACGTCACTGAATTCTGCTTGAAAAAGTGCTTCCAAAAGGTCTTTGGGGAAATGAATTATTTTCATGGAGGCTTTACAGTATTGCTCAGAATCGAGAATCGCCCTCTAGCGGCTAAACGGTAGAAAGATATCAAAATGCGGTTTGTTTCAATCAAGATTTCAATAAATTTGAGCCTCAGAGTGGGGGGTCCATTTTTTTCTATCTCTAAAAATAAAGGGTGTTTCCATAAGAAAGTGTCCAATTTGGCCCACCCTGTACATTTTCATAAAACTTTCTGTCACTGCAATATGACACTTCACTTATTGAATGAAAGCACCCTCTGCCACTAGGCCTGTCATGTGGTGCAACGTGCAACGCTTTTAAAAGCTCGTAACCCGATTCACGCGTATTCTTCTGGTATTGTGAGTACTGTAGAGATACTGTTAAATATTTTTGATGGATTTTTGGTATTGTCAATACTGTAGAACTATTTTGAAAGTATTGTGAGTCATTTCAGGTATTGTGACAATTGCTATGAAAATACATGGTATTTTCACAGACCTATGATGGTATTGTTTAGGTATTGTAGGTAAAGTTTGTTTTTTATTTAAAGATAATTCCCCAAGTCAAAAATTTAGTAACTATATTGGCAACACAAACCTTTTCTACATAAAAATTTGAGAGCATTGACAATTTTACATTGTATTGCCAACATAATGTCATTTTGACTTTTATCTTTAAAAAAAAAAACAGACTTTACTGTGAACTGATTTGTACACCTACTGTTAGGAGGTGTCGACCCCTCGGTCATTTTAGTATTAGAAAATCACGAAATTCAGTTTGGCAACGTTGCACTGTCTAACGTCAAGTAGGTTATGTTGACTAGCGTTAAACGAACAAGATACAAATAACGAATGAGGAGTTTCATCATTGTCACTCTTTAGAGCTTAGACAAGGAAAGCATATAAGATGTGCGCCAAAGCCATTGTGAACGATTCTTATTGGTCGGAATGTGTATATACGTCATACAATGGCGCCATTCCAGTATGTTTAAATATGTGAGATGAAAACAGCATTTTTAAAAATTATTTTTAAAAAAATTAGGACATTTTAAACTCAACTGGAAGCAAGGGTATTTTGGTTATTGGCATATTTGGTTAATACAGGGTGTCCCAGCCGAAAATGAACCATTTTAAATGGTTATAACTTTTGAATCAGGTGTGCTAGCTACCTGCGGTTTACGCCATTCGATTTCTCTTGGTCTGAAGCATTTTCTAGTAGGTTGCAATTTTTTTGAAACTTATACAGTGCAAGTGAAAAAAAATCAGTTTTTCAACATCAAAATTCTCCACTATTTTTAATGGAACACCCTGTATATCACAACGTCAAAAAAAAGATTAATATTCAAGGTATCGATGTACTAATAGACATCGTCCCTAAAACGTGAAGTTTTAGAGGTAAAAAATCAAAACCGAAATCTTGGTAATTTTGCAAACCCATGCAACTTCATGTTGTAGGTACTTGATATCACTATGACAAGAATTTTGTAACTGTCTAGTAACATATTAATTAAGTCAAAATACAATTTCCAAGAAGACTCTACAAGTTCCAGAGTATTTTCTCTGGAACTCGTCAAATAGAGATACCCCAAAAGTAACAATTTGGTGTGCATTCTCTATTGACAAAAAATACAAAACATTTCCATTAATGAACTAACGATAACAGAAATTGTATACACTAATATGTTCTTTTTTCCACAGTTAAGACAGGAAGGTATCTTGGATAATATCTATTTCCAGCTACCATTGTGCTGGAAATAGCTCATTATTCTTTAACAGTAGGGGAATCACTGGATATGACATTTGGGGCTAGACGTATATGGAGGTCCTATAGAATGGACACCTTACTCTCCTGACTCCTGACTTGAGAGATCCAGACTTTTTTCTCTGGAGTTATGTCAAGTAAAGATGCTGTAATCCTTTGTTCAAATAGCCTAAAAGATCTTAAGCGGAACATTTGTAATGTCATTGAAGCGATTCTCCAGGAAATGTTACACAAGTCATTCACCCATTTACTGAACCATAAATTCCTGGAACAGAATGGCTAACATATACATATACAGCATTTTGTATAGTTTTATGCAGTTTTCATTAACTTTTTATATGGCAAACATAAGTTCCAAGCTTTGTAAATATGCGCTTGCAAAAATACCAAGATTTCGATTTTGATTTTTCACAGCTAAAACTTCAAGTTTTAGGAACTATGTCTATTCGTACATGGATACCTTGACTTGAACATTATTCTTTTTTTGACGATGTGATATACAGGGTGTTCCATTAAAAATAGTGGAGAAATTCAATGTTAAAAAACGGATTTTTTTACTTGCCCTGTATAAGTTTCAAAAAAATTTGCAACCTACTAGAAAAAAATTTAAACCAAGAGAAATCGAATGGCGCAAACCGCAAGTAGCTAGCACACCTGGTTTAAAAGTTATAACCATTTGAAATGGTTCACTTTCGGCTGGAACACCCTGTACAACTGATTAAAAATAATAAAACAATGAAATTCAAATATGGTGAATGTCCCCATAATGTGGATTAAGAATACCTGTTGGTTACGTTTCCTTTCACCAAATTGAATACGGTGTCTCTAGCATGAACGTCAATTGTGATGAGGGCTATAAGGATTTTTCGGGTAACTGAAGTTAAGTCTGTACGGATTAGAGCTGCTAAGTCATTCAAGTCCTACAAAAAAGGATGAAACACCCAAAATTGAAATACTACTACAATATTCTATACTGACTTTAATGCATTTATTTGCATATTCTTCCATTTTCTTTGCTTTATTTCCCTCGGCGTCTAAAATTTCGTGGACGTTTTTGGCCCACATTATTTGCGACACTATCAAAATAATTTGGTTTGGGTGACAAACCACCCATTCCGTTCTAGGCCTTTGCACGTAATGCCCAATTGAAACCTTCATGCATTTTTTCAAACTAATAAACATGGACTCTTCGACTTTACCTAACCAGTCTTCAACGTTACCTCTGGCTTTTAAGCCTTTACTAAGCTGGACTCTTTCTCCTTCCGGACTCACCATAGCAATTATATCAGTAGTCAGAACCATGGTTGGAGCTTTTTCTTTTTTCCCTTCTTTGGATGCTTCTTTAGCTTCATCCTCTTCAACCGGTTTCATACCAAACTCCAATTTGGAGATGGCATCGAAGCACTTCCTCAAATGAGGCTGGACGGCGTGAGGATTTCTCGTTTGCGCCAGAATATCCAGCAATTCATCATTGGACAGAAAGTAAAATCTTGGAAAAGAAACTCGCTTAGTTTCCAAGTACGATTCAAGGCACTTCATGATTTGTTCCAAAAGGGCGTTGTTCCGTTGAAAAGCTTCATATTGACCTGGATGTAATGTGGCCTCCATCGCTAATGGATTTCTAGCAGTCCTTCGCATAATTTCTTTCCAAGATTTATCGACAACGGTGAATAATTTTGCTTCATTTGGTAGCTGTCTTTGGATGTCAGGTGCCGAGAAAATTACTTCTAAATAAACCCAACTTTGCTGACACGTCATCCATTCTTCCAATGTATGAGAAAATAGTTCTAGGTTTTTCTGCCATTCTTCTACGCGATGTTTGATTGGACCGACGTGCCTAGAACTGGCAATAGTAGTTATGTTTATGTTGCTCTCATCTAATACTGTTTGGACATCTTCAAGAGAGCCAAGAATAAACACATCTTTGGATTCTTTATGTGAAATTACAATAAATTCCAAGGTTTTCCAAGAGTCTTCGACTTTTTTGAGTAAAGCTTCAAGGCCAGCTTCACTACTAGCTTGTCCGGATATTTCCAATAATTCTTGTGGATAGCTGAAACAATTGAGACTTTCCAATAACTCCAACGTCATGACTTCGTCAGCTTTAAACTTATGGTTGAGTACATTTTCGACTTTCACCCAATGTCGGTGTTTCAATGCTTGATTTCGCAGATATGTGATTACTGGAAGTTTATCTTTCATCAGCTCGACTTCATCCTTAAGTTTTGGCACAATTAAATTTGGAGGAAGGCCTTTTTCAAGCTGATTGATATTTTTAACATTCTTAGCTGTGAAAAGATTCATTTCCTCAGTATTAAGCGTGCTAAATTCGCAATGGTACCATGCATCTACAGTTTTAGCCCAAGAATCCACACTTTCCCACAAGAGCATGCGTAACTTAACATCGCTCATTACTTCGTCTAGCATATCAAACCTAGAAACCTCAAGCCTGAATTGCTTTTGGAAATTTTTAAATTCAGCAGCTCTTCCTTGGCAAGCCAGTAATCGATCGTGTAAATCCGTTAAAAGTTCTGTTACTTCTTCAATGTTGGAATCAATGTCATAAAGCCATGGTTGCATGCATTCATCTTTGATTGCTCCTACTTCTGAGATGAGTGCACTAATATCCTTATTCATTTGATCACTGAATGCTTTAATAATTTTTCCTGTTTCCTCGATTTTTTTGTCTACGAGATTTCTCAAGTTGCCCAAAGAAACGCTGAGCCCCAAATAATTAGACATTTCTTCCTGTGCCACTGGAATATCAAATTCTTCTGTGATATCGTAGAGTTCCTTACAATAATCAAGGGTTTCTTCCATTTTATCCACACGCGTGGTGGCGTCTTCGATGTACTCAAGATATTTCACGTAATCGACTGTAGAAAGAGGATCTTGAACTAAATAGGTAGAAGTTTCTTCAGCTTGCTGCATCAGGAGGCCAATATTTACTCTGCCAATCCTGAGTAGAGACATTGTTATACAATTGATGTAACTAATTAGGTACTAAATAATTCCTACCAAGGAATGACTTCTCTAGTAATTCCTAGTAATCTGCGCGGCTCTGGTAAGGCATGGTCCTTAAAGTCAGTCAAAACTAGATTTAAAAGTCCTAGGGGTTGTGTTTTGACTATGCTTTCAATTGTAGCAATTTCGTGATTGTATCTCACGCACATGTTTCTGAAATTTTCTGTGACTAAAAATATATGTCAAAAGAATCAAATATAATAAATTAGGATTTTAAGGACATTTAAAGTCTTACCAGTTTCGTTTTGAATATTATCCGCTGAAACTGTCAAATCTTCAATATAAAATTCACGTATCGGCTCAAATCGTTCAATATAAGTTTTGGATGCGTCGTAGTTCGTATCAAAATATTTCAAAAACCTAGCTTTTTCTTCAGCCAGTTTTTCGTCCTTTTCCAAAAAAAACTCTAACGTGGGACCCCAACCGCAAATACGATCTTCTACTTTCTCGTTTATCACCGGACTAGTGAATATCGAATAAAATGGATCAGCCACGAATAAACTGAACTCTTTACAATTCTGTTCCCATAATTCAATGAGCTGTATGAACATCTGTTTGGCAACCTCCACTGGAGGATCCAGCTTTATTTCTTCAGGTTCCAACATGACGTTAACGATATAAAGAGGCAGCTAAAAAAGTTAAAAATCAATTTTGATAAAACAAATTCAATCAGTTCTTACTGATGGATCTTCAATGTTCCTTTCGTATTCCAATTTTGTTTCCAGTTCCATCGATTCTAAAAGTTCTCTGCTCGGTAAATATTTCGTATGCGATTCATACAGATCATTTAATATATCGATTGAGTTTATTATTATTTGATGAAGCATGTTGACTGTCATGTAGTCTATTAACATTATGTACCTAGAAACATAAGCAAGCTCATTTAGAACTTAAAGACAAATTTGATGTCTAAGACTTACGCTGAAAGCCGCTCGCAAAATTTCTTCTTGCTCGCTTGCTCAATATACGAAGCCTTTTGCTGTCGACGACGTTTCTGATCTATTTGATGACAAGTTATATTTCAGAAAATTAGGGTAAAATTTTCAAAGATATGTAGGTATACCTCTTTGTTCTTCAACGATTCTTTCATCAGCGACAAATCCTTTAGCCGTCAAAGCTGCGTGACAAGCATTAAATGCTATATCTTTGGTTATTTTATGATAATTATTTATTTTTTCTTTGATTTGATTCAATTTGCCCATCTGAAACAGATACAATGTATCGTTTAATCTGAATAATTACAATAATCATTTAGCTATTTTATACCTGGTTTTCAATAAAATAAAACAACCAAATGTCCTGATTTGAGCTGAGGTCCACTAAACTTTCGTCCATCGTACTGAAGCACATGCATTGAACGTCCAAAAGGCCCTTTCTCAAATGCGGGTTCAAAATAAACATGTTTTGGGCCAGATGCTTTTGAGCGACAGTGAATTTTTGATAAATGATTATTTTGCGCCAAATGTAGAAACCCTAAAACGTGCCTAATGTACCTCGCAAACAAATCACAAAATATTCTGGATCTACCTTCCATTTTCGAAAATTCCTAAAAGTCTTAATATGCATCAATCGTTGAAACATATTGTATTCTTCTTCCCATTTGTCTAGGGATGTGTATATTATCTCGCTGCCAACGTGTTGCATTACACCTTCGGCACTCATGGTGAAAAAATTGTTTTTGTCAACGTCCTTGTATCCTACAACCCTAAAAACATAATACTAAAGTAATACGTCATTATAGCTTTATTCCAACACATAAGATAACCGTACAATGAATCTACCGTCACGACTCTGCGCAGAACCTAAAATTTGTGCGTAGAGTCCAAAATTCGTATACTGAGTGGTTTCGAAATGGTTCATGGGACGGTTTTTTGGGCGTGTTACAACAATCTGTGGCTACAACAGACCCATTGTTATTGTAGTGACGCGGAAATAAACCAAGAAAACAATTAAAGGTTCTGATTATTCTAAACAACTAAAGACCTAGGATCCAACTACCGAAAATTAATCAAGAATAACAAGGAGTTACCAAACAACCATCCCAGGAGAGATCATCACTTAGACAGCACAGCCAGAAACTTCAATTAAAAATTATCTGAACATCGATATCCAGAAATTATTGAAACCCGATACCCTATATTGACTAATACATTGGAATGTGAATAAAGCAAAAGTTCATGGACCTGCTGCTCATGGAAGTGCTTTCAATAATTAACATTCCAAAGGAGCCGAAAAATTTCTAAAAGGATCAATAAATCATGCACGAGCCTATATGATGATACCCACTTAACAAACCACTTAGCGACGCCCTTGATAATTAATTAAAAGGGGACCAAATACACTAATTGATCGGATGATTCAACCACGAAAAATCGAGGTTAGAAAAAATAAAGACATTCAAGACAATGGAGGGACCAATGATATAAAAAGGCAACTTTGGCAGGAGAAAATCAGTGTTCGAGAAAGAGCGAGTAAACCGGCAGAACTACGGCGTGAAGGACCGGTTTTGGTTGAGTAATCAAGAAACAAGTGGTAATCGAGAATCGAGAGACCTGTGTCCAGAAAGTCAGAACTACGGCGTGAAAGAGTTGTCGAATTAACCGAGAGAAGAAGCACGACGTGAAATAAGAGCACGAAAATATTCGAGTTTTTTTTTATTAAGTGTTCATAATTAAACAATTTCTACCAATAAGATTTCCATGTAATTAGGTGTGGCCAGCAGTAAATATATTATTGTTAAATGTAAGTAGAGTTTTTTTATGTTCAGCCAGAATTTGTGAAGGCAAGAGTGTGAATCGAATCAAACTGTAAATAAAAATTTTTTACTTGGAATTATATAAAGGACCCTGCACATTTCTTATGGAAAAGTGATCTATGTGGAAGTTTGCTGAATTTTTGATATTGTGTAGAGGCAGTCGTCCTTAACAAAAGTGATCATTGCGCTAATGTTCAATACCCAACAGTTTTCAAGATATCAATAGAAGATTTCATTATGAATGACGACAAACAAAGTCACATAACCTATAAATAGCATTGTCAATGTTATTAATTTTTTTTCAATTTTGGGCTTAAATTTAATAATTATGGCAGTTTTGGGAGAACGTGATATGTTTTATCGAGAGGCGATGAAGCGATGTGTGTTTGGTGATTGTAAAAGTGATAGTCGAACAAGTTTCATTAAATTAACGACCCCATTTGCCTCTACTGGAGTTTTAGGTAACACAGCACCTGTCACATCACTCTGTTAATTTTATCAAACGTTTTGCAACCAAAGAAGCCATAGCGAATGCACCGAATACTTACGAAAGCGTAGATTTATGTATTTTTTCAGTATGACGTCACTCACAGCAACGAAAATTATTACTATCCTTTCCACTTTTGACTTTGACTTCACTCTTCTCCTTTTAACATTAAGAAAAAAAAAGATAGCGATAGCGATTAGTGACAAATAGCTAGGTATGTAAACAACACCTAGCACCTGCCACAATCGTCAACTTCATGTCATGATGTCTGTCATATAGCGATTTCATTTGTACCTGTTGTTGTTTTTTTCTATTTCCTAAATGTTAAAAGGAGAAGAGTATAAGTATAGGTAGTCAAAGTCAAAAGTGAAAAGGATAGTTCTAATTTTCGGTGCTGTGAGCATACTGGTGACGTCATATTGAAGAGTGTCAAATTAAAAAAGTTTTTAATAGATATCTTGAAAACTGTTGGGTATTGAACATTAGCGCAATGACCACTTTTGTTAAGGACGACTCCCTATACACAATATCAAAAATTCAGCAAAATTCCACATAGATCACTTTTCCATAAGAAATGTGCGGGGTCCTTTCCTTAACAGTTAATTGATGCTTATTAGAAATCTAACAAATTTATTGTAAGATTATTTTTTACCGGCGCCTGTTAATTAATAACAAGCATTAATTATTTTAATAAAATAAACTATATTTTAATTGACCACAATATTTCTGTGTTTTACTCTCTACCCGCAAATTGGACCCACTTTAAACTGTCTCCACTCAGAAACCAAAGTCACCGCTCGCCAATTTAACATCTTGCCAAGTTTCTGAATTTGGGGTACCACAATATCTTTGATGATTCGGTTTCAGTGTAATGGGCTATTGTATCAATAGCTTGTTCTTTAGAAAATATTTTCAAAAATATCCTTGGCTAATTTTTTCTTGGAGACGGAACTAATTCTATATCATTGCTAAAATATTCCTGAATTTTTTTAACTAAAGTTTCGTCGCTTAATACATCTATTTGTCCACAAATTTCTAGATAAATATCTTTGTTTTACTGTAGATGTCGAATATCCTTTGCCTTTGTCAAATCCTCGCTTCATTTCATCAAATACCTGTTATAACGACTTGTTTCCTTCGTCGAATTTCCGTTTTCCACTCGCGCTGCTTTCGTAAGACTTTTTCTAAGTTCCTTACGGCCAATTTCATAATAGGGAATTAAAAGTTACTTTAGCTAAATAGGCTTGTAGGATAGGATTTTTCAACTTCAAATGTAGCTTTATATTTAAAGTTTATTCTAACGGCCAGTTCCATAATCGCAAAAAAGCCTACTTTATCCTCAAAAAGCACCTTTAACTTCCAAAATCTGTTCCATAAACCGTTTTTGAAGGATCCATTACGAAAGAGTGACGTTTACCTTAAAATGCCGAGTTTGGTCAATTACGCGTTGAAAAGAGTACTTTATAGGGTAATTACAGGTTCTATGTTTTGGTTATTTCATGTCAAAAACAAAATTAGGCATTCCAACGACCTGTCAAAAAGTGCGTTGTGGCAGAAGTTCATTATCCCGTATATGAGAGTATGTAATTTAAAGCTTTTTGAAGTGCATTTTGTGGTTGTTTTGTGAATGAACTCTGTTCATTTTTTTATTTTATTGACTTCATTAGTGTTTCTTCCAATTAAAAATGCTACAAACGGGTCTTGAAGTTGATTGTGGAAGTAGTTTCAACAAGGTAACAAGGATGATGTCAGGCTTTTTTCATTGCCCTTTGTTTTAAAATTTTCCAATTAAAACGTGAAAATTTTTCACTACCACTGTTCCTGCATCTGAAATAAAGCCATTTTCGAAATATTCGTAAGAATCTAAGCTTTTGTAGGCCTTCATTTGCTCATTAATGTGAACTGCGGATCAAAACAACATATTTTTTTTGTCACAAACGGCCACAATCAGGAATTAGAAATGCGAAAAAATTCAAATTATTTCCAGCGGGAAAAAACGCGCTGGTATTGGTCGTGACGTCATCTAGTATGATCTGCCAGTGTCTGTCAGCAACCGCCCATCATACCGTGAGTTCGTCTTGAAACACTGAGCGCTCGGAGCATTTTCCGTCTTTTTTCATTATGATGAGAAGAACAGGGATAAGAGAACAAAACAGCAGCTCCGAGCGTTTACTCGAACTCTACATAATAAATACCCGTTAGCTGTGTTTATCGACGATTTTCTCTAATTTTTTTAAATTCTATCATTTACTAGAATTGGTTTACTTAGCTTAAATTTAATGATTAGCTCAACATTATATCGGGTCTTCAAAAAAAAAACGAATCGAAGATTGCTATGGTTTTCTAAACGTATGTCTTAGCAAAATGTTTCTTTCATTTTGTCAATGAACCTAATGTCAAAATGGCATGTCAAAAATCCTGACCAATAAAAAAACAGTAATACGACGTACGTTTACGTAATCAAGGCAATCTTCGATTGGTTTTTTTTTTTGAAGACCCGATATAAATAGAACGATATACCTAATTAATTATGACCGAAAAAGGAAATTCCAAAGGCAAATCCGACAATCTGTAATTTGTGATATGTTTATGGTAGCAAAAGTAAGTAATAGGTATGTGCGAGTCTTTTTTTCCATTATAACTTCAAAATTTACAACTCGCCGCAACACAAAACAACAACAAACCAAATAACTGTGGAAATCAACCAAATTAAATACAATAAAGTATGACGTTTGACGACAAGTTGAAGCCGGCGCCACACGATGTGTCGAATGCCTTTTAACCTTAGACAAGCTTTCAACGTTGGACACATAGCGATTTGTGGCATCGTGTAGCTGTGCGCCCATCGGATATATGATACATTTGCCGAATGCTAGAGTAAAAAACACTGTACCCGACGTTGGATCGATCCAACGTTGGGGCCAATGGTTGGACACCTCGTGTGGCGCCGGCTTAACGCAAAATCATACTACGTGACGTCATCCAGATTCGCGCGAATTTAAGGTCGTTTGAAATTCTTTTAATACGCGCGAAACTTTAAACATTTTATATCCTACTGAACTATTAAAACCATATAATACCTTGGTTACGATAATCATAAACAGGGTCTTAACTCCCAAGGGAGTTAAGGATTTTCATAACTCCCAAGGGAGTTAAGGAAGGGAGTTAAGGATATCATAACTCCCAAGGGAGTTAAGGATTTCCATATCTCCCGCTTTTACCTTGAATAGGTAACACTTTGACAAAAAATAGAGATTTTGATTTATGGCTTATTCCTTTATAAAAATAGACAGAATACAGTAAATTCAGTAGGATATAAAATTATCTATGTACCACGGGAATTATCAGGAGTTAATACCCACGGGCAATTGGTGTCCCTCGGGCCGGAGGCCCTCGGGACACAAACGTTGCCCTGGGGTATTAACACCTGCATAATTCCCTTGATACATAAATAACTATTTCA